AGGAAAGTTTATAGCCATGATTGCATACACTAAAAACACAGAAAGATCTCAAATGAATGACCTAATGCTAAATTTCAAACTCTTTGAAAAACAAGAACAAACCAAAACCAAAACAAACAGAAGGAGAGAAATAATAAAATAAGGATTGAAATCAATGAAATAAAGATGAAAAAACCATAGAAAGACTTAATGAAACAAAAAGCTGGTTCTTTAAAAAAAAACAGACACAATCGACAAACCCCTTGCAAATCTGACTAAAATGAAGAGGGAAAAGACCCAAATTAATAAAATCAGAAACAAAAAAAGGGAAATAACAAAAAACACCAAGGAAATCCAGGGAATCATCAGGGACTACTTTGAAAACCTATATTCAAATAAATTAGATAATCTAGGAGAAATGGACAAATTTATAGATACATATAACAATCCAAAATTGAACCAAGAGGATATTAATCACCTCAACATATCTTTAACACACAATTAAATTGAAGCATCAACATAAAGAGTCTCCCAAAAAAGAAAAGTCTAGGACCTGACAGATTCTTTGTGGAATTCTACCAGACCTTTAAAGAAGAACTAATACCAACGCTCCTTAAACTTTTCCACAAAATAGAAAGGGAAGGAACACTGCCTAACTCATTTTATGAAGCCAGTATTACACTCATCCCAAAAACAGATAAGGACACATCAAAAAAAAGGAGAACTACAGGCCAATCTCTTTAATAAACATGGATGCAAAAATCCTCAATAAAATAATGGCAAACCAAATTCAACAGCATTTCAGAAAGATCATTAACCATGAACAAGTTGGCTTCATCTCAGGGATGCAGGGATTGTTCAACATACACAATCACTAAATGTAAAAAAGCATACTAACAAGAGCAAAGACTCTTGATCATCTAGATAGATGCAGAAAAAGCCTTTGATAAAATTCAACACCATTTCACAATAAAAGCTCCAATGAAACTAAGAATAAAAGAAATATACCTGAACATAATAAAGGCTATATATAACAAACTTATAGCCAATATCATACTTAATGGGGAAAAATTGAAACCATTTCCTCTAAAGTCAGGAATGACCCATGAATGTCCACTCTCTCCACTCTTACTCAACAGTCTTGGAATTCCTAGCCAGAGCAATAAGACAGGAAGAAGAAATAAAAGGAATATAAACAGGTAAAGAAGATGTCAAACTATCCCTATTTGCAGGCAAGATACCTAGAAGACTTGAAAAACTCCACAAAAAAACTCCTAGACACCATAAACAGCTTTAGCAAAGTACCAGGATACAAAATCAATTTACAAAAATCAGTATCCTTTCTATACACCAACAATGACAGATTGAAAAAGCATATAGGAAAACAGTTCCATTTACAATACCATTAAAAAAAATAAAATACCTAGGAATAAACTTAACAAAGAATGTAAATGACCTCTACAAGAAAAACTACAAACCATTAAAAAAGAAATCAAAGAAAACTGCAGAAGATGGACATGTCATCCATGCTCATGGATTGGTAAAAATGGCTATACTACCAAAAGCATTCTACATGTTCAATGCAATTCCCGTTATAATCCCAAAGACATTCATCATAGAGTTTGAAAAATCAAACCTAAAGTTCATCTGGAAGCACAAAAGACCAAAATAGCCAAGGCAATACTGAGCAAAAAAAGCAATGCTGGAGGTATGACAATACCCAGCTTCAAATTACACTACAGAGCCATAACAATAAAAATAGTATGGTAATAGCACAAAAACATATATGAAGACCAGAAGAACAGAATAGAAGACCCAAATATAAATTCACACAGCTATGCCCTCCTAAGTTTTGACAAGGTGCCAAAAATTAAGATGGAGAAAAGACAGCCTCTTCAACAAATGTTGCAGGGAAAACCGGATATCTGCCTGCAGAAAACTAAACCTAGATCCATGTTTACCACCCTGCACAAGTCTCAACTCAAAGTGGATTAAAGGCCTTAATGAAAGACCTGAAACCTTGAAGCTACTACTGGAAAGAGCAGGGAATACCCTGGAGGGAATAGGCATATGCAAGGACTTCCTCAGTAGAACCCCAGCAGCTCAGCGACTAAGAGAAAGGATGGACAAATGGGACTTCATGAAATCACAGCAAAAGAAATGGTCTCTAAATTGAATAGACCATCCACAGAATGGTAGAAAATCTTTGCCAGCTATACATCAGACAAGGGACTGATAACAAGAATATACATGGAGCTCAAAAAACTAAACACCCCCAAAATCAATGACCCTATGAAGAAATAAGCAAATTAACTGAACAGAGACATTTCAAAGTAAAAAGTCCAAATGGCTAAAAAAACACATGAAAAAATGCTCACCATCCATGGACATAAAGAAAATGCAAATCAAAACCACATTAAGATTCCACCTTACTCCTGTTAGAATAGCCACCATCAAGAACACAAACAACAAAAAATGTTGGTGAGGATGCAGGGGAAAAGGAACCTTCATATACTGCTGGTGGAAATGTAAGCTAGTACAATCCCTATGGTAAACAATATGGAGGCTCCTTTAAAAACTAAAAATAGAACTGCCATACTATCCAGCAATACTACTCCTAGGGATATACCTGAAGGATTGTGAGTCAGCTGACAACAAAGGTACCTGTATGCCCATGTTTTTTGCAGCACTATTCACTATTAATAGCTAAGCTATGGAAACAGCCAAGATGCCCCATGGCTGATGAATGGATTTTTAAAATGTGGTATTTATATATAATGGAATTTTACTCAGCCATAAAGAAAAATGAAATTTTGCATTTGAAGGTAAAGGCTGGAACTAGATAATATCATCTTAAGTTACCCAGACAAAGAAGGCAAAAGGTCACATATTTTCCTTCACATGTGGAATACAGACAGATAATATAAATGCAATATTATGAAACACTGGTCACATGCGAGAGGTAGGGAAACTAAGAACTTGAACATTTTGATATATTCACTATGTAAAAATAAATATAAAAATTTTAAATCTACTGAAACTACCACAAGAAAGGGATTAAGGTAAAATGAAGAAAATTAGAGGAGATAAACCAATTAGTGTTATAATACATGGAACTATCACAAGGAAACTCCTTGTATAGTCACCTTTACATCAAACAAGCTAAAATGACGTTTTTCGTTCTATCTTTCCTTTTTTCTTCTACAAAATCAGAGAATGGGGGACAGAACAAGTCCTGCCCAGGGGTAGAGCTGGCACCATTGTGGGGGGGTGTTGGGGAAAGGGGGTAGGAGGGTTAATATGATGCAAAAAAATGTGTACACATGTAAGTAATTGCAAAAGTAATGCCTGTTGAAACTACTCCAGGAATCAGAGGGTGGGGGGAAGGAGAACAGTAGAGGGGGTAAATTCGTGTATGATAAATTTGATACATTGCAAGAACCTGTGTAAATGCTTCAGTGTACCCCTACCTACCACAAAAATGAAGGAAAACAAACAAAAACTGTTGAGGAAATTATTTAATCAGTGTAATCTTTTTTTTTCCTTTGCTGTCCTCAGGTTTGAACACAGGGCCTTGAGCTTGCTAGGCAGGTGCTCTACCTCTTGAGACATGTTCGCAGTTCAATATAATCTTGAATAAAATTAATCTAGTAAGAAAGGGATGTTTTCTTGTCACAAAATCATTATGACACAAGAATTATATCAAAACTTCCTTAAGACAATAAAATTTATAGATGCATTTAAATTATTTGATTTACAAACAACGTTCATAAAAATAATTTGATGTGTAAAGCACAAAGTTAGATCCCAGCAACTGAGCTTCTTGGGCTTGCCTTACTGGTGTGATGGTGCTGCCCTGCTGTGCCTTTTCCTGGACTCTTTTACAGACACAGCTGCCTCATCTACACCCACTCTGATACTTAGTTCTTTAGCAATCCACATTTCTCTAGTGCAGGAAAGATCCAGCTTACTTAGAACTGACCACTGACAAACCGATGATATTAAAGAAGGCTCTTGCATGGGTTTCCACTACATACTTTGCACATTCTTCTACCACGACATCCATGCATTTTTTCATTCCCTCTCATTGATATAATCCCTTCATAATAAATTGTGGAATTAATTCACAAAGTAACATAGGAAACCATTTCTGTGGTTATAGATAGAAATAGTACTGAGAAAAGATGTTGCTGGAGCAGAGTGAGGGTCATTTAACAAAATTTTGGCATTAAGCTTCTGTTTTTTAAAAAATAACTTGACACATGTTTGTAGAGAAACACAGCATAACTAAAGCTACTGAGGAACCACCAGCCACTCACCTATTGCCAATAGAGTTATGAGTCTGGGAAGATACACCAAAACATAATAATGGGATATCTTTTTCTAAGAGTTTGTAGTGAAGACACTTTATTTCAAGATCAAAATCTATGCTACAGAAACTAAAACAAACAAAACATCAAGGAGATAGCTGTTGGAGAGTGAAAATCAAACAGTGTTACCTAACTCTACCCAAAGGCTGGCACAAACTGTTTACATTGTGCAACATGGACAGTCTTCATATTGATATCAACATTGCCCTTGGAAAGATTAGATGGCTTCTTTTTTCCCATTTGGGGAGTGAGAAGGAAAATTCACCCCCCCCACCCTGAGTGAGAAGTTTTCAGTGACTATAGTGTGCTTTCATGTAGAGAAAAACATATCCCTTCTGCCAGCCAACAGATGATCCACACTCTGAATACTGCATCCTAACCACTTCTCCCAGCAATGATGTGGTCTTCAACACATCATTTAACACTAGGAGTGCAGTATGCAGCCTTGAACTAATTCTTAGAGTGGGGCCAACTGAATGATGGAACTCTGACTAGTACCCATGGTCCCTCCACTAGTATCAATCCCAATGCTGCCAATGGTGGCAGTGAAGCCATGCCCATCTGCTCTGCCGGCACTGTGGGCTGTGTGCAGGTCTCCTACTCCTTGGTGTGTAGACTTCCTTGGTGTGTAAATCATGTGTGCATTCAAACCTGCTTGGCTGTGTGGCTAATCTCTACAGCCAGGTCCCCTCCAGAATTCCCGATGCCAATGACAACGACTCTTTTCCCAGTGAATGTCACTGGGTTCTTATAGTCTCGACTGTGGAAGTACTGTCCTTTGAACTTTTCGATTCCTACAAGAGACAAGAAAACAATTATTGTGAGATTGTTTATGTGATGGATACCATCTGTCAATTTCTTTGCAGAGTTTAATGTTTAAGTTTGTATTTTGCATTTCATTCACCTACTTTGTTGTACTTTTACATGTTTTGCTTATTTCTTACTCTCTCTATTTTTTGAGGGTGGGGTGATCTTTGAACACAGGGCTTGAGCCAAGCCTTCAATCCTTTATTTCCTTCAGAAGGACCTTGCAATCATAAGTTGCTTGTACTTTGGATTTGCAGATGCACATGTCCAAACTGCCTCAGAAAAACCCCATTCTGCTTTGTCTTTCCATTCCCTTAGTGTCTCCTCCCATTTTTTGCATGCTCTAAGTATACACAGAATGTACTTTTTAAATGCAAATGTAGACCAAAGACTGGAATTAAATGCTTCAAGCTTTCATTACACCCTTAAAAACTCAAAAGTTCAGTTGTGTCTTTGATTGCTAAAAAATTCCTAATTCAAACTAATGCTGATCAAGAGCTCAATGAACTTTCTTTTGGCCTTTATGAAAACTAAAGATATGTGTTGGGCATGGTGACACAAGTCTCTAAGCCTAGCTACTGAGGAGACAGAAATAAAGAGGACTTCAGTTCTAGGCCAGCCCAGGCAAAAGGTTAGGAAAACTTCATCTCAATAAATAAGCCAAGTATGCTGATACATAACTGTAATCCAGCTATGCAGGAGGCGTAAATTGGAAGGTATAAGGTCAGTGCAGGCAAAAAGTACAAGACCACATCTGAAAAATAACTAAAGCAAACAGGGCTAGGGGTGTGGTTCAAGTGGTAAAGCACTTGCCTAGAAAGTGTAAGGCCCCAAGTTCAAAACCCCAGTACCACAAACAGAATGAGACACACAGTAAACATAAGATGTGTCAAACCATTTCTAGTGTAATATGACATACTGTTTCATAGCAACCTTTTTTTTATAAGTAGGAGTACACTCTAAAGAAATGATAGTATAATAGTAAATACATAAACACTAACATAGTCATTTATTATCAATCATTATGTACCGTACACATGTGTGCAGTGCTATAATTTTATACACCTGAGAGTGCAGTAGACTTCTGAACACCATCACCACAAACCTGTGAGTTCTCTTCTTTGCTACAGTGCTACAAAGGCTAAGCCATCACTAGGCAATAGGAATGTTTAAGCTCCATTGTAAACTTTTGTGGCTACCATGGCAAGCCCAGTCTATCATTAATTAAAACACCATTTTGTGGCACATGACTATACACAGACCTTCCAAATTATCATGATCTCTACCCCCAAATGGCTGTAGTACAAATTATGCTGAAATCTTCTAGGAAAACTGCGTAAGACCCACTGAGACTACAACCCTCCCAATCCTCAAGGGTCAGATTCCAGCCTTGGTTCCAGGGTCTACCTTCCTGGGGGGGTTACTTACCAGGAAAGTTTTCCAGGGGCAAATGAGCATCAGTGTGATGGCCAGTGCAAACCATTATTCCATCAAAGATATCCACCTCCTTTCTCCCTTCACACTCAGTGACCACTTCCCATTGGCCAGAAGTAGAGAAATCAGGCCGCTTATTCACACTGCACACAGTGGTCTGAAAAGTGACAGTCACAGGGGGACTTTAATCACAGCCTATGCAAAGAAACTCTCCCTAGCGTGACTCCCTACAGATCCTTACAGGAAGGGCTGGTGTCACAGGTACAATCACATTGCAGGACCCATGGAGGGATCCCAAGGAGGAACTGTTTTGTTTGGGGCTGCAGTTGGTGTGAGAAAACTTCCATGAGGCACACGAAGTAAAATAGAACTGGCAAGCTATTATATTTTGATGCTAGAAAAAGTGTGACTTGCTAGGTCTCTTGGTCTACACCCCGCAGGCAATCAGCACCTGAGTAAAGCCTTGGTTTCTCCTGGCCTTCAGTGACATTCCATGCTCTAACAGCCTTTGCCTCACCGAGACCTCCTCAAGCCCACCGACATCTTCTTACCCGAAGGCCTGTTCCCACTGCTAGCCTTAAAGGGAAGTTTTCGTGGAGAAGTAGGAAAACATCTCAGTGGTTCTTAGTTATGAAAAGGAACCTTTCTTTGCCTTCTATAAATGCTCATTTACAAGAAAATATAAAGTAAGAGACAAGGGATGGGATAATGCTATGATGTTTAAAAAAGAGTAAGTATGGGTTACTCTAATCAGCCATGGAAATATCAAGAATGTATTCCCATGTGCTTCTAGGGCCTTGGCATAATATCTTGTGGACAATAGGGACACGCCATGCCCTAGTCATGCTTAGCTGTGGATAGTTCCTCCCTGTCATGGGACTTTACACATGGGTGCTTCTGCTTGTATCACACTTTTCTTTTTTTTTTTTTTTTGTGGTATGGGGTTTGAACTCAGGACCTTACATTTGCTAGACAGATGCTCTGCCACTTGAGCCACTCCCCAACTCACACTTTTCTTCCTTCTTTGTTTCACAGACTCATACACATCTTTCAACCTCATCCTGGACATTATCTGCTCTACAAAACTTCCCTGGGTCCTGATATGTCTACTACTGGTGGTTAAATGCACTTCTCTGACCTGCACTCATCTCTCAGTAACTGCTTTTAAATTATAGGCATTATACAATTTTCTTCATTTTTCTGTGTCTTCAACTGGTCTGCAAAGTTAACTGGGGGTGTTTTTCTTTGCATTTTCACTGTTTATGCAGTAACAAACTTATTGAAGAACTATCACTTAAACAAGTGAAACTGGATTGTAAGTGACTGACTTTAAGAGTTGTCACTGGATGTTACCCTTTTATCATTGTGGTTATAGAGAAAAAGGCATGATTTAGTAGAATAGTCAGGAGGAGAAGCTTTGGAACTTTTGCCAGCTGTCCTAAAATATCTCTTCTTTTATGATCATGATTACAAATTATAGAAAATTCATGAAAGATTTCCTAGCGGAAAGGAACCAGAAGTGACCTAGTATAATCATTGTTTTTTAAGAAAAAAAATTAAGATTAAATGAAGTTGAGAAACTTACTTATTAAAGATTAATTAGTGGTACAGCAAGGACCATAATTCAGGATTTTGTTTCCCAATTCACTGTTCTTCCCTTTAAACCAACTTAGTTGCTTTGCTTCTTCAGTAACTTCCCAATAAGTACTTCACTGTGTTGTTGTGGTTATCACATACAATAATATAAATCATATATTGGAAAGTGTGTCAGAAAGTATAAGAGAGCTAAGCACAATAGTGGGCAAGTGTGGAGCCAGAAGTTTTTAAAGTTTCCATCCCTATCAGTTCTGCTAATATGTTTTATCAAATAATGTGAGCTGAAGGCAATGAAAATACTCTGGAACATGGCTTCCTGTATCTGTAGCCAAGATATATAATAGAGATATTTTCTTGGACATTTTTCAGGTACAGAGAGGACAAAGACTGGAGCTCTTGCCTGGACAACTTACAGACATGTACACATCAAGCCAATCATTACACATATAGATTGGTAAAGGAAGCAGCAGTTTTCACTTTCTTGATGACCAACTTCAAACACAAGGATGCCCACAAAATTCCCTACCTTACCTTGAACCGGATGTACTTTAGAAGGCCAAATTCTCCAGCATACATCCTGAAATACTCCAGGACCTGGGAGTTGTGCATGAAGTTGGGGTAATGAGCTGGGATGGGGAAGTCACTGAAGCACATCATCTCCTTGGAAGTATTGATGACCACCGATTTGTAAATACTGGCCCTTCCCTGTTCTGGATTGTCCTGTAGTAAATCAGAAGCACTTATGGCAACTTGAGAATTAACTTCGTGCTTTATAAATAGCCATTAAACAGTTTCTGAATGAAATGTCAATTAAACAAATTGCATACACACACAGACACACACACACACACCTGCACCTCTGCCATTATTGTGCCCCATGTAGTCCCTTCCCCTTGAATCTGACTTGTCTTTATGACTTGTTTTAGACCAACAGCTTATAGTTAAAAGGGCACTGATGACTTCCAAGCCTCAGGGATAAGTAGCTTTGTAGCTTCTGCCTGGGTCTCCTAGAAAGCTCACTGTGGCAGAAGACAGAGCCACGTAAGAAGTGCAAGTACCCTGAGACTGCCATAGGAAGCCCAACCTGCACACAGGAAGAGCAGGTTAAAGGAATATTCAGTCAAGCCCCAGAAACTCTAGATATCCTTGCTCAAGTTCTAAACCTGTGCACAAAAGTCATATCAGATGTCCAGTCTCAGCTGTCACCTGGTTGTAATCATGTGAGCTTTCTATCAAGAACCACCCCACAGAACAGGTCTTGGGAGTTTCCACATGCATTGCAACGCTGCTCCCCGGAAGACATGGTACTAATGTATACTCTTTCTAGTTTAAGTTCTTATTTACCCCATTTTTACTAATACTGAATAATAGTCATTTAAATGCATAAAAATGAGGGTAGTTGGGAACATATGCTGGGGAAAGTATGTTAGTACAATATGTTCTGAATAATGTTGCAATATATACAAAAACTCTTGAGTGGTGCTCATGTCTGTAATCCAAGCTACCCTGGAGGTGGAGATCATGAGGATCTGCCCCAGCAAAATGTTTATTCGACCAATCAAAAAGGGTGTGTACCTGTTATCCCATGTAGGTTGGAATTGCTAATCCAGGCTGGCCTGGGCATGAGTGCAAGATCTTATTCATAAAATAACTAGAACACACAGAGCTGCTGGTATGACTCAAACTTGCCTGGCACACAAAATGCCCTGAGTTCAAACTCCAGTATCCCCTCCCAAACAAACAAAAACCAAATCAACAAAAACAATCTTGAAAATTACAGGGTCTCTTAAAGAAATATTAGGCATTGCAGACAAAGAGTTATATTAAGGATGTTAATATCATTATTCACAACACAGAAAAGGAAACAAGCCAAATGCTCTACAAAATACACTAAAATTTGAGAACCACTGCTGCAGATCCTTGCTACCCACAAAGTGGTCTGAGGACCAGCAGAAGGTGTATCACTAGGGAGACAGACAGGAATCCAGAACCTCAGGCCCCACTCCAGATGCTAAGACATAACTCACATTTTAGCAAATTCCTCAAGTGGTTCAAAGGCACATTAAAACAGAGCATCACTACTTTAGATGACATCAATCACCAATTCAGTGTTCTCCCCCCTGCAACAAAATTCTCTGCTTCCTCAAGGACGACCTAATAACTACCTCATGGGGTTGATGTGGTAATCTGTAAAATAATGTCATAGGAACCTCTTTTATAACTAACATCATCACAAATGACAGGTTTTCAAATCTATTATATTAAAATGTTTTTGATCATGGAAATTCACCTTAACTAATTTGGGCTCCCTCCTCCTTTTCATTACAGAAATGAAAACGTTCAATGTTTGTAGATATGACAAAACACAAAAGAGAGTGTGAGATTTGTGCACCCTCAGGCTTATTTTCCTCACATTTTTATTGAGGTATTATTTAGTGTAGGAATCCTAAGTTCATTATTCCCATTTCTCTGCCCCATAATTCAAAGTTTCACTTCTTTTTGACTGCTAATAAGATTTCCATAACTCTCTTTTCAAGAGTCTTCTAATCTATTTTAGCTATTTCAACCAAATTATTGTTTCTAAGTGTGGCTGTGGCTATATGTGTGACCTAATTACAGATTTTGGTATAGCTCCATTTCTGAGAAAATTCCTATTTCTCAGGACAGGATTAAAAACCTCTATAATATCATGTAGTAGGTAAATATTTATCCAAATGGGGTAAATAAGAACTTACACTAGAAAGAGTATACATTACTACCATGTCTTCTGGGGAGCAGTGTTGCAATGCAAGTGGAAACTCCCATGTATTTCTGAGAAAATTCCTATTTCTCAGGTTAGGATTCAAAACCTCTGTAATATCATGTAGCATTTTCCGTGTTTACCCAAGTGGATAGTAAAGCCCTTTGACTTGTAATCATGGTTTTCCTGAGAATACATACAGCAGTAAATAAATGTCTAATTATGTATAGATATGAATATTTACATATAAATGTACATGTTTAATTATGTATAAATGTATGTAATTATGTAAGGATGTAATGTATGTATGTATAAGTGATGTAATTCTATATGTATGTATAAATGTATGTAATTATGTATAGGTGTATGTTAAATTATATTGAGAAAAGTATTTATACAAAAAAGCAGTAAATTTCACATAATACATAACAAATTAATGACACACACCAACATTTATTTCAAAATGATGTGACTGTGCTGTATCTACCCTTCCAGAAAATTTGTAAGGAAAACTGCAAGATCATATAAAAGTCAAATATCTACAAAAGATATCTACTTTTGTATGATTTCAAATATTAGTTATACATTGTTAATTATTTATTTTACTTCATGTTAATTCAAACCAACTTCCTCAAAATCTTGAGGAAGTTGAAGAACTTAAAATGCCCCCCAAATCCAGGAATGGCATAGTAAGTTATAGCTTCTCATCATGATGTAGAAGTTCTCTTCCACACCACTCCCTGGGTGGCCTGCTAAAGACAAAGCAGATCCTGTTACTCCCACACTTACTTCTACTAGTTGTTTTGGAAAACCAAACTACTTATTTTGAAATTTAGCACATTTCACAATCTATTCTAATCTTCATTTCATGTTCTCCTTAATGAACCCCTCATTTTTAAGTCATTAAATTATTCCTGGAGCAATCTAGGTTCTTTTACAACTTTAAACCTTTGCACCTGTGACTACATCTTCATCTGAAAAATTCCTATAATTTAAGAGTCACATCAAATGTCACTTCTTGGGAGAATACTTTCTGTTTTCTTTTCACTAGAGAAGCTAGCTGCACTATTCCTCTTCCAAGCCCCAAACTCTCCATTCATATTGCTATAAAGGAAAATCAAGCACACTGTATTATTATGCACTGGTTTCCATGATTATGAGGCACCTGAGAGTGAGGTATATTCCTTATTCCCCCTATATCTCTATAGCTAACACAGTACCTGCTACACAGTGTATGCTCAATAAATGCTTTGGAATGAATTAATAAACTAGGAGAAAGAATTTGGATATACCCAAAACAGTAATTTTTGAAATCTGTGTGTGAGCATTGAAAATGGCCTAGACTAACAATAGAAAAAGTTTCATAAAATTAAATTTACATTCTAATCACACCAAATATATAATATTGTGTATATATGTGGCAACTATATGTCCCTGTCTACCCACATTTATATAATTATATACTGTATAATCTCTCCTCATTACAGGAATCTCTTTTGAGTAGATCTAATTTATTTAAATATATAAAACTTGAAAATAGGGAAACCAGTTGATTAAGAAGATATTTTTTCTTTCATTTGCCTTAAAATATTAACAAAAATAAAATATTGTTTTTATAATACCCATTTATGATAAAAACTCTTAGCATAATAGGAATAGAGAGAAACTTCCTCAATTTGATAAAGGCCAACTACAAAATATGACCAGCTAACATCATCCTTGATAATGAGAAACTGGACACTTTTCCCTTAGGATTTGGACTCAAAGTAAGGATGTCTCTCATGTCTCACTTCTCCTAGTCAACACTGTACCAGAAATCCTAGCTTGTGTACCATTTATTAAGGCTATAAAGATTGTTAACAAAGAAATAAAACTACTGTCATTTGCAGATAACATGACAGTTTATGTAGAAAATTCCAAATAATAATAATTTAATAATAATAACAATAGTACCTCCTGGGAACTACTGAGTACAGCCAGGCTATAGGGTACAAGGTCAATATACAAAAGTTAGTTGCTTTCCTGTATATCAGAAATGAAAAATTAGAATTTGGAACTTAAAAATGCCATTTACAAGAACACCCCCATATTAAATATTTAGTCATAAAACTAACAAAACACATATAGAAGTTAATATGAATAAACTATAAAACAAAAGAAATCAAGCATTAAAATAAATGGAACATTTTTCTGTGTTCATACATTGAAAGACCTAATACTGTTAAGATGTCTATTCTGCTGGAGGTTTGACTCAAATGTTAGAGTGCCTGCCTTACAAGGGTGAGGTCCCAAGTTCAAACTCCAGTGCCACAAAAAAAGAAAAAAAAAGATATCAGTTCTTCCTTATTTGACCTATACATACAATGCTAGGATGTAGCATTGCATCCCAGCAAGCTGCCATGTAAGTATCAACAAACCAATTCTAACATTTGTATGGAAAATTAGCCAAAAATACCAATTTGCAATGTGGGCTCTACATAGTAACTTTCTTCCAAAGTGTACTTACTTCCAAAGGGAGAAAAGAGATGAACTTGGCACCAGCAAAACCACACAAATTCCACTTCAAGCAATACTTGAAGGTTAACATTAGTGGTGATAAGTCATATTGATACTAAGTACCCTTGAAATGAAGTACTGAAAACGACATTTTCCTCAACCATCTTCCTCACCCAGATATAGAACCTCAGACTAATCCTGAGAGAAACATCAGCCAATTCTTAATTGAGGTGTTTCTACAAAATACCTGACCAGTAATCCTCATTGCCAAGGGCATGGAAAACAAAGGAAAACTTAAGAAAATGTCACAGCCAAGAGGAGTCTAAGAGGCCATGACAACCAAATGTAATGTGGTCAGAAAAAGCCATTAGGAAAAACTAAGTAAATCTAAGTAAGAACTTATCCGTACTAGTTCACTGATTATGAAAAGTGTAGTACACCAATGTAAGCTGCTAATAAAGGGGAACTAGACATAGTGTCTTTGGGAAGTCTGCACTATCTTCCTGATAAGTTCCACATACTCCAAACTGTTCTAAAATTGAAAATATATCTGAACATGTTGTTCGTACATTAGCATTTTTTAACTTAAATTATTAATGGAAGAATTGTTATGGAGTTAATATGTTTGGGGTGGCACATTCCTAACATTTGAAATTTATTTCATTCATTCAACAGATATTTATAAAGTTCCTCTGTAATAAAATACTATGTTGGTTCCTGGGAAATACAAGATTTCCCTTGTCTTCTAAAAGGCTCAAAGCTTAGTACAAGGAATGGAACCGTGCTTTCCCCAGCAGATCTGGGGTCACTGAGTGAACTGAATTATATCTCTCTCCTCTATGACAATTGTCACATTTCAATTATTTTTCAAGTCACTAAATTGTCAACGAAAACTTTCCATTCCTTTCAACCACTTGATTGGGTCCTTGGTAGGGTTTATCACTGTGTCAACTCATTGTTTTACCAAAGAGTGGGAACAGGGTGGTATTGGGGCAGTGAGTACAAAAACAAGCTCCTCTAAATTCCTGTGTCCTACCAAGGAGGAATTAATCTCTCCTCTACAAATTTTTTCCCTGATTATATTTCCAGCCCAGGTAAAAGGTTCACACATTTGAGGAAGAAGTTCATATTTTTAAAAAGAGGGATTGGGAGGCTGAGGCAGGAGAATCATGAGTTCCAGGCCAGTCTGAAAAACAGCATGACAAGATCCTGCCTCAAAAAAAATTTAAAATGGGGGGTAAAGAGAATCAGAGGGCACAAGGGGGGGTTAATTGGAACTGGAAAGGATTGGAGGCAATAAAAGACAAAAGGAAAAATCTAGCATTCTCCTTCAGTGGGAGAAGTGAGGACAGTGTTAGACATTCAGAGCCCCATAGACAGATCCTCTGTGAGCTGCTCTTCCTCCTTCTGTTATCTGCACTTTGGAATCTGCTAGGAAGCTTTAAAAAATCATGCCTGGGTGGTACCCTGCAGACTGATGTAATTGCTCTTTTCTAACACAGAAATAAGGTTGAGTGCTCCTAGTATGAGAGCTCAGTGCTGGCCCAAAGGTTCACAGCATTGGTCTATCCCATCAACTTCCAAAGCCCTTTGAGCAGCCATTCTGAGCTAAACTGCAAAGGGCATGATTGCAGAGGCAGGAAGTGATTTATCTGTATCCCCATATCCTCTACCATAGTCTGAGGTCCAGAAGTGTTTGTTCAATAAACTATTGTTGATGTAGTTTAACGATGCAATATCATCCTCATTTAAGACCTGGGAAAGCTGGGTAGAGGCTGTAAGGCGGTGGGCTTCCATGTTGGTTGTGCATTAGAAATATCTAGTAGAGCTTTATTGGGGCCTGAGGCCACGAAAGCCAGAACTCACAGGTGGACTGACATGAGTATTTGTTAAAGTTCCTTTTTTCTGCTGTGTGCAGTAAAAGCCAAGAACTATTGCTCTTTTAAGTGCTTTTACATCTGTTCTTTGTCTTACCCTTTCTTCTTTACTGTTTTTAGAGGGGGAGAACAGTTACGAAATTTATAGATTTAAAAAATACTATTCATTTAAGGTTGGTATTACTTAATTTTAAATATATATAAATTTATAATAGATTATAAATATATAAATAAATGTATACAGACCATTTATTTATACAACCATAAATATACTTTAGAACTTATCTCTGTGAATGTAGTTTTATGACCATAGTATCAGCACTCTGTAGGGTTCATTAGAAGTACAGAATTCTGACACCACCCCAGACCGGGGATCAGAATGCACATTCTAGCAAAATCTCCAATGTTTCATGTGCCCTGTGAAGTTTGAGAAGCATTGTTTTAAAAGGGGACTTGATCAAAAAATATGAGTTATTTTTCAGCATAAGTACTTACTAAGTCCTTAGTATTTCTAGGAAATTGATCATTTTTTTCAAGCTACCCAGTAATATGTGAGCAAAGTTATGTGCATGGCATTAGCACCTATATCCCACCATGAGTCTGAGCTACTGAGTATATAGATCAAGAATTGACAGAAGTTAATATCTTGAGAGCTCTTAAATTGTTACTACTAGAAAGCATTAAAATATAACAAGAAGGAGGCAATATCAGATTGGCAGGTGGAACAGAGGTAGTAAAATAGAAATAGTAGTATCTGAGAAGGAAAGAAATCATGCTGAATCCCAGAGACTGATCACAGAAAAAGAGAAAATGGAACCTGTTGGAATACCAGTGTTCTTATTGGACACCTGGTGACCATGGTGGAATTCCACCATGCATCAACCAATTCTATACATGATACCTCAATTTTTTTTTAAAAGAGGAGCTTGGTGACTCAAGCCTGTAATTCCAGTAACTTGGGAGGAGGGAGCTTGAAAGGATCACAGTTTGAGGCCAGCTTCAGGATAAAACGTAAGACCTTGCTCAAAAGCAACTAAAGCAAAAAGCAGGTGTAGCTCAGGTTGTAGAGTGCCACCTAGCAAGTGCAAGGCGTCAAGTTCAAACCTTAGTGCCACAAAAGAGAGAGAGTGTGCAGGACTCCTAATAATAAGAAAGGAGTAATAAAGAGCAGATTTCAGATGGAGAACATTCTTGAGGAAGACATTATTAGAATAAGAAACATCAAACTCAAACTGACATTTGTAACACCACAGATTCCACAACTATGGAAGGCTCCACATGCATCCTAAGCAGCCATTAAACAAGGTTTGCTTCTCAGGGATTCACTTATTAAACAAAAACAAATTGGGACCCAACATATGCCAGGCATTATGCTTGACTCTCCAATATAATTGCGATCCATACAGGTATGGCTTCCTAATGGAAGTCAGAGTGTTATGATGATGAAACATTATTTCTTTTCAAAGAACCAGGTCAGAAGGTTGAAATTTTCACAAGAGAACAATCTGAATATCTGCCAAGATAGGTCTTTAGCAGACCTGCCAAAATGGTCTTTAAACCATTTTGGAGACAAAAAAGCAGAAGCCTGAAATTCAGGGAGAATGATGGATTTCCTCCCAACTTCCTGCCTTCTTCAAATGATTTCATGCCTGTTAGTAATTGCCAAACCTGACTAAGATACTTACACCAAATGCATGGGTTCCACTCTGGGCCTATTAAATAATGTAGCAGTATGTAACTGGCACCATTTTAAGTAACTAATATAGATATTTATTCGCTTATTTCCCATGTTAACATTAAAAAATGGATGCAATTATTAGTCCCTTTTCAAAGGTGAAGAAACAATGGACACAGAGAAATTTAATGATTTGCCCAAGGTCACACTCTCTTTAAATTTAAGATAGTGCTCTTAATCTCAAGTATGTGGTGACTGGATTTCGAGAGTAGAATTTTCTGTTGATTGCCAGAAATGAATCAACATGCTTTTCATCATATGTCCAAGAGTCTGAACAAAGGAATGGGGTTTATTAAGAAACTCCTAATTAACTTTACATCTGAGAAAGGAGATTTTTCAAAGAGGTTATATAGTTTCCAAAACAGAGCCAAGATGCAAAAGGACTGTACTTCTGTTCAAGTAAGGAATGCCACATAGGCACTTTTAAGTAGCTGATCAACACTGTGCTAGTTTGTATGAAATAGGAAACAAACCTGTGGCATGTCAATGCCATTCACTAGTTCAGAAAATGAGTTTAAAAGCAAGTCCAATGCATACCAATTTGAAGACCAATGAAGGTAGTTGATATTCCTTGGCATTTAATAAACATAATTATGTTTAAGTAGATAATATTTTAAACTGTTGCTACCAAGTTGTGTGACTGGGAATGCATATTAAAATAATTCAGTTTTAAAACTGAGGACACCAAGGACAAAACAAACCAGTCACAAATGCCTTCTGCCCTTTGTCCAAAGACAAAGGACTTTGGACTTCTCAAGGGAAGAAAAGTTCAAACCTAACAAGTCAATTAGATTTTATATTCTATTCAAAAGTCTGGGATTGTCAGAGAAGTACTTAAAATGAAGTGTTATTTTTTAATGGAAAAATAAGATTGAAGACTGAGAAGTGGGATTCCTGGAAAGAGTAGTAAGCAGATAATTGTAGCTCATTTACCTGTTATGACAACCAGGAGCAAGCACTGTACATTGCTAACCTGCAGTACACTGCTCTCCCCACCCCCTTCCCTGAAGGTCCAACCCCCATGGCCTTGGACAAGCTAGGCAAGCCATCTCAGTGAGCCACAGGCACACCTGTGCTGTCCATTTCATAATGTTTGCTGTTTTGTTATTCCACAGATTGTTTCCCTCTTCCAGATACCAGCACACATCATAAAATGAAAATGGTCTTAGACAGCAGTAAAAGGAAAACAAGTGATATCTCTGTCGCATTTTGGTGCCGGTCTAGGTAAAGTGGAACCCGCACAAAACCCAAGGTGGTGGCTGCTGAGAGGTGGTTAGCAGGCTGAAATCTAACAGATTTAGTCCCTGTCAAGTTTCTGGCTAGTCCTAGCCAAGAGATACAATGTGTCTAGTTGTAGCAGGGCTTCCAAACCGTAAGGGCGAGGAGACCCACCTGGAACCTCCACAGTCCTCCGATGTCCTCAGTCCTCTCAAAGCAGACAGGCTCCAAGCCTTCCTCCACACAGCTCTTGATACAAGTGAGCCCACTGGATCCTCCCCCAATCACAGCGATTCTTTTCTTGGTCATGGTCTCCAGAGATCTTTGCCTGAGTGGGCCAGTGGCACTTGTCCCAAAGAAAGAAGGACAAACTATAGAAAGCTGTCCTCAATGCACACTTCTTACGGAGGACTTTGACCAAGGCACGCAAATGAGTGCTGTCACAGAGGCGCCTTTGGAGAGGGCTGACTCGGATCCTGGGGCTACACTGCAGCTGCACTGTGCTCTGATAGGTGTGACTCCCACTTGGGGCTGACCAATGTCTGTAGGTGGCTGGGACTGTGGCTCTCACGGAGGACCATACACCAACCAGGGATAAATAGCAGCCACTGCCAATGGGAAAGCGCCCCGCCTCTGGCCCGCCCACCCGCCCACTCATGGCACCACCCTCCCACCTTGCACCAGAAAAGGCATAGACTGAATTTGTTTTGAACAAAATATTATATAAAGTGTGCCCTTTCCCTGAAGCACTCCCAGGGACTGTGAGCCAGGAGACCTGTGTGTCCAGTTCTCCCCCATTTCCAAGTCCACTTTGCTTTCGGCTTTTGCAAGACACTGAGGGAGTCTGGCTCCCGTCCCCTCTTCCTTCTCCCTCACTGCGTCACACAGTGGATCTTTGAATCTGCACCATGGTGAGGAATTTTTAATTCCCAGGCCCTGAGTCAAGAGTGGGGCACATTGAGGAATGGATTGTGCTTCCTACTTAGAGGACCTTACAGTTTAGTGGAGGACACGAGGTCACAAACAGGGATGGATTCCAAAAAAGTGAAAGTACTTCATGAAAGTTCTTTCTCTCATGACCCAAATAGTGAAAAACGCAATAGATCCACTTCTAAAATGAAACATAAAACGTTCAAATGTTGGGCTGGAAACCTGGCAAAAGTGTAAGAGCCCAGCCTAGCAAGTTCTAGTACTGAGTTCAAACCCCAGCACCGCCTAAGCTGGGGGGAAGTTCATCTATAAAATCAGGTAGAGCTGACAATGTAATGGTTATAAGACTGCATGCACTGTGTGAGAATTAGGGTTCCTCCAGCCCTGGCCCCACACTCACCCCTGGAGTATCCTTCAAAGGATGGTGGTTATTATTTTGGAGGTGTATCTTGTGTTTATTGAGAATCCAGCAGTCCAGTACCACCATAATCACTTTCACTGTGCACTTGGAAAATGGAGGCACAGAGAGGCTAAGCAACCTACTGAGGATGACACAGCAAAGGCATGGAATTGCAGGGATTCAGCCAGGCAGCCTGGCTTCAGGCATGCTCTCAATTATTACATATTCTGCTCTTGCAAGAGGATATTTTTACTTCTTATTTACCACAAGCCCTTCTACCATTTCTCAATCTCTATATTGCACTCTTTTCTGTTCGCCTAACTTTTGCCTTTCCACCTCTTCATTTTACTTGAACTGTTTTTAACTCAACGACAGCTTGCTTTATGTCAACTACAAAAAAATGCAGCTTTAAAATAGGTCTTTGGATTGGAGAATCTTTTTGCTCCATCTTGAAGGACTCCTGCCCCATATGATCTGAATTACATGAAAATACAGCAAACATGCACATCCAGGAACACGAGGCATCAACAGCACTTAATGGGAGGATGAAGGGACAGAGGCTCAAGGGTGAAGTCTTGAGAGTGAGTATATATGCACTTTATATGTCATACACATAAGTACATGTTTCTCAGCGATTAAAAGGACTGTTTTCATTATTGATGTGATTTTATCAAAATAGTTTTTGGTTGAAAATCACTTAATCATCACATGAAGATGACCTAAACAAGTAGTTCTTTTAATTAAAAAAAAAGCTGATATTTAATTTTCCACTGGGATTCTCTTCTCATGTTCCTTTAATGAACACTTTAAGAGGCTTCATTAAAACTCTTATTTGACGAGTGTTCTCACAGACACAACCAAATAAAATACATTTTGCCACAATGATCTTTAGTTCTCTCTACTTTCTCCTAGAAAGAAAAAAAAGCAGCATTCCTTGTTTAATTGGCTAAATGTTCCTCCTTGGAAATCTCAGGAGAAATTTTTGTCCTGGGGTTTGAACTCAGGGCCTTGAACTCATAGTCTCTTTCTGTCTCTCTCTCTCTCTCTCTCTCTCTCTCTCTCTCTGTCTGTCTTTGTCCTGAATCAATTTTGCAAATTTAGAATGTTGCAATAATTACCTTTAAAGCTTATTAATATTTTAGGTTATTATTTTCTTTTAAAATTACTTCGATTGTGTCTCAGAATTAATCACTTTTAAATTTGGAAGTACTTTTCATACTTTTTTAAAATTACTTATAAAAGTTTTTAATCCTTGACTCAAATTCCATCCTGTTTAGGCTAATTACCAATTTGCATTTCAGCAATTTCTTCCTTTAGCTGTAACTTAATACATGCAAACTGATTGACAGACGCAACACCATTACTGGAACTATTAGGAAAGAGCTTGAGGGATAGATAATGATGACTAATTCGAAGGCTTTGGAACGGATGTGGGCAGTGTTCAATTGCATGTTTAACTGTGCTTGCAGAGTCTCTGTAAAGGAGGAGTTATTCAACCATACAGACCTACCTCTGTTTGGATGCTCTTCTATTTCCTAATTTTTTTTTTTGTTACGTCTGGATTTTACCTACATTCATTCAACAAATACTCATCTTCAGATGTCATTTCTTTCATACGGCAACTTTATAACATGGAATGGGCTTGAATCTTGTTTGAAGGAGAGCTGACAAGGAAGGCTGCCTTGACACAAACCACATTGTGAAGTGAATAGGATGTAAATACACCTTTGTTCAATTAACATGTTAGGAAGCTATTTGCCAGCTTCTCAGTTAGGACTAGTGAAGTTGTCATCTATACCAGAATATCAATTCCACGCCTTTATGGTCAGGTTCTTTGTTAGAGAAGAGGAGAGGAAACTCATATCTAAAGCAGATGGGGAGATAGATCATGAACATTGCAGTAAGCTGAAAACATGACCCCCCCCTCAAAGATGTACATGTCCTAACTCCCCACAACCTGGGAATTGTATCTTATATGACAAAATGTACCTTGCAGGTGGGAGTAAGTTATGGATTTTGAGATGAACATTGCTCTGGATCATGTAGATGGACCCAATAAAATTACCAAGACTTTTGTAGGAGGGAAGGTGAGAGTGACTTGTCTATAAGACAGCGACTATGTGAACTGAAGCGAGATGCTATGCTGCTGGCTTTGAAGATGAAAGAAGGGCTAGGGACCAAAGGAACAGAGCTCTAGAAGGTATAAAAGAAAGAGAAGGAATTAACTCCTGGTGCCTGTGAAGAGAGGCTAGCCCAGCAGACTCTGGACAATGTAGTAATACTTAAGTGTAAAAACATAATAAAACTGTGACTGTCGGCAGGTGTTAATAAATTTGGGAAATCCAAACAAATTCACTGTATTACTTTTAGTGCTAAAAAGAGTTTGATAAACAGTCAGGATATAAAATCAACCTCAACCTACCATCGATGGCTTTCCTGTATATCAATCATAAAGTAATAGGATAAAGGAACTCATTAGAAATCACAAGGAAAGACTTGCTAAGAATAAGCCAAAAAGAAATGTGCAAGAACTGTATGAAGAAAACAATAAAGCCTGGCAGAATGATACAGCAGGTGATGAGTAAATACTGTGTTCCCAAGCAAAGAATCGTAATACTGCCAAGATGGTCAAGTCTTCCAGTCTCCTAATACTGCTTGTTAATGTTCAGATGATCCAGTCAAAATTCCAGTTGAAATGTCTTGTTTTTTTTTTTTTTTTTTTTGGCAATTCTGGGATTCAGAGGAGCCACTTCACCAGCCCTCAAAATTCCATTTGGACTTTTTGTGGACTTGACAATTTGTTTGTCAAATTTATTCTGAAGACAGAATTAACATAAAATATAGTGGCAGAGGGTGTTTTTCAACGCCCTCCAACACTCACGAGCAAGTTATGCTAGCATCAAGGAACTTCTCCTATGTGCACCTCTCCTTGTCAGAGGATCTCTCTCTCCCAGGTAAGAGAGGTCTTGCCATAGACTAGCTCTCCCTCCAGCAATCTCAGCCCAAAGGAACTGACTGCTTGGCGAGCTCCCTTGTGGAGCACAAGTCTTAGTGCTGTGCGATCAACAGCATGCTATGACTCCCTCCTGGACCTTGTCTCCCTGTGTAGTCCAGGCCAGAGTCAAACAGGATACTCCTATCTCAACCTCCCTAGTGTTGGGAACACTGGTGTGCACTGCCCTGTCTAGCTGAAGCTCTGGCTGAGAATTCCAGTAACATGAATAATAATGATGAGAGTGGACATCCTTGTCTTCTTCCACATCATAGAAAAATATGGGTATGCCTTTATTGTGTATATATGCCCAGCCACATGGGGAAGAGAATATAGAGAGTGAGGGTTACTGGAGCCTGGGCTGCTTCTGGTGACTGCAGAGACAAGGACAAATGGCCCAAGGAGATTGCCCAGAGATTGCAAGAAGGGCAGTAAACACTGAAGAAGAGAGAGATCTGTGAGAACCAAGCTCCAGGGCTCTCTCATCACTCCTACTTATGGAAGTAGATGGGTTACAAGAGGAGTGTCTTACGCCAAGCACAAGTGACTTTGGAGATTTCTTTATTACTCTGACACCAAAACCCTCTTCCATATGGTCCCCAAATGGCAAATAGGTTTCATTTTTCCAATGACAGAGAGTGTCTAGCTGGAGTACTCTGGTACGAAGAACTTCCAGGGCACCAAGCCAGTTTCAGGGCAAAGGGAAGAAGGCTATTTCTATACTAATATCTGCTATTTCTGTTAAAACAATTCTTACACTTCAATTCAATTTATTCCCCTCTTCCTCCTCCTTCTTCTTTTTTGCCTGCAGTGTTGGGAGATTGAATCCAGGGCCTCACCATGCTAGGCAAAAGCTCTACCTCTGAGTTACTCCCCATTTTCTTAACACAGAGTTTCACTCTATAGCCTAGGCTGGCCTCAAACTCTAAGTCCTACTGCCTCAGCTTCTTGCATGCTGGGATTACAGGTGTGCAATAGCACACCAGACTTCAATTCAGTTTGTAGTTGTCTGTTCCACTTAACATGCTTCAAATCACCTCTAGCTACTACACCTGTAAAGTTCTTAGGACTTCTGTGTAGACCAGTTCATGTCAGGCTACAACCTTAAACCCCTCTAAAGATCATCTTCTCAGCTGGCAGCACTCTCTACT